TGAATTAATTCTAATGGTCTATTTGTAGATATTACATTTTTAGATTTAAAAGAAGATTTGTGCATTTTTTCTTGTTGATATGCATCACAAAAATTATTTTTAAATGACATCTTAGGCAAACCATTTACTGAATCATTTTTAGAAATCTTAGACATATGTTTAAAGTTAACATGTCCAAAACGTTTATGCCATAAAATAGAATCATTAGATGATGCAATAAGACAATGTTCATTTGAAATATTATTCATAGATAACACATATATGTTATTTTTTCTATAACCTTTAAAAATAATGGTTATTAAATCAATATCATAAATTAAGCATGATTCTTTTTCAAAAACAATTTTATAACCTTTATCACAAAGTTGACTAATACTTAGTAAATTATGTTTAAGACCATTAACTAATAAAACATTATCAATGATAGGTTTGTTTGGATTACCTACGGAACCAATACCGATGACTTTTCCTTTGTTGTTATCTCCAAAAGTAACGGTACCTCCATCCTTGTTTTGAAAAGATGACAACAATTGAATATTTCCAGTCATATGTTTGGAGCAACCACTATCTAAAATCCACCTATCTTTCTTGGGTACCTGAAAAAATAAACATTTACATTTTGGTACCCATACTATGTTGGGTCCTTTAAATTAGCCTTTAGGAAACCAAACCCATGAAGAGTTTGATTTGCTTAAATAGTTAGATGATAAACAAATATTTTTAATAAAATCAGAAATATAAAAATTCTTATGAAAAGAAGATAATTCTTTTGGAACCCAAATAGAAAAGAATTTTGATTTCTTTTTATACAAATTTTCATATTTATAATCATGCAAATCACAAGAAGGTTTTACAAAAATTGTATTCTTTGATTTGTTTTTATTAATTTGAAAACCTAATCCTTTTGTCTTTTGTGATTCTCTTTGAAAAGAAAGAATATTATTAAGATTTTCTTTTCCTTTATTAAATTTGCTTACATTTAAACATATATCTTCATATCTTGATTTAAAAGAAGAAATATCTTTATCTAAACTATTAATTCGAATATTTAACTTATTACATTCTGATTTTAAATATTTATTTTCATTAGATAAATTATCATTTTCTTTTAGTAAAGAAAAATTTTCTTCTTTTAATTCAACTAATTGAGAATTAGTAAAAGTAGAGGAATTTAAATCGGAAATTTCTTCAAGTAACCTTTTATTCTCACCTTTAAGAAAATTATGTGAAATTTTTAATCTTATAAAAGTTTCATATAATTCATTAAAAGCATCTAAAAGCTCTTCATTTTCACTTACATCATCTTGTGCCATGAAACACATGTGAGCACTTTCCTTTTCTTCAATTTCTTCATCTGAGGATGATTCATCACTATCATCCCAAGTGACCGCCATTGCTTTCCTCTTCTTGTTATTTTGAATATTGTTGAAGTTGTTGAAATAACTTGATTTTTGTTTATTCTTCAACATTGGACAATCTTTCTTCATATGCCCTGGTTTATTACACTTAAAACAAAGAGGGTTAGTTGAATTTGAATTCTTAAATTTAAAATTACCTCTTTTGATGAATTTTCGAAATTTTCGTGCAAACATGCCCATTTCTTCATCATTATCATCTGAATCTTCTTTATCTGAAGTAGTATTAAATGCAAGAACTTTCTTGTTCTTAGATTCTTCATCATTCTTCCTATCTTCAAGTTGTACTTCATATGCCATAAGATTACCAATAAGATTTTCAACCGTAAGAGTTGACAAATCATTGGCTTCTTCAATAGCGGTAACTTTCTTTTCCCATTGTGGAGTAAGTGAACGAAGTATCTTTCTTACCATCTCCACTTGAGTATATGTTTTTCCAAGACCAATAAGAGAATTTGTGATGTCGGTGAATCTTGTGAACATTTCTCCAATAGTCTCATTTTCCTTCATCTTGAATAATTCAAATCTGTGCACAAGAACAGAAATTTTAGACTCTTTAACTTTAGTAGTACCTTCATGAGTTACCTCGAGTGTGTGCCAAATATCATATGCGGATGTGGCCGTTGACACCCTATTGAACTCATTCTTGTCAAGTGCACAAAATAAGGCATTCATTGCTTTAGAATCCAAATTCGCATTGTTCCTTTGAGATGTAGTCCATTCCGCGAAAGGAGTTGTTGGTTTCTCATATTTTGTTTCAACGACGTTCCAAAGTTCGTAGCCAAGAGATTGGAGATAGATCTTCATCCTACACTTCCAGTAGTTGTAGTTCGTGCCATCGAACATTGGAGGACGATTTGTAGAGTGACCTTCCTTGAATTGTGATGTATTTGACAATGCCATCTTTCACCTTGCTCTGATACCAAATGTAGGATCTGAAATAGATACACTTGAACACTAGAGGGGGGGTGAATAGTGTTCTTTTAAAATTATTGCAAAGTAGATAATAAATTGCAAAGAAAAAAATGGCAATCTCAGAAATTTGCAAACACAAACACAAGGATTTTATACTGGTTCCACCAAACTGGTGTACATCCAGTCCCCAAGCAAATCCCGCTTGAGAGTTTTCACTATGATTTTGAATAAACTTACAAAATCAAATGCAAACCTGACCAATTTGCAAGTTCCTGCAAATTGCAACACCAATTGACAAACTCCTTGTCAATTTGAACACCAATCTCTAACCCAAGAGACTAACCCTCTCACAACCGAGAGAAAACTTGTTGAAGAAGAACACAATGATCCTATAAGCCTTGAATGTGTAATAATGTGCAGCAGTGGCTTAGGATTCTTTTAATCTTTGTAAAATTGCCTAATTGATTTGTTTTTGATGAAAGTATATAGGCAATTTCAGAAACTCTTCTTTTTCAGAAAATCAGAATGTTTTTCACTTAGGAAATTGCTCAAGAATCAAAGCTTATGGGTATGTATATTTCTCCAATTTTTCTGAACAAATAACCTATATATACCCCTTGAAAAGACAAGTTTTTAAAGTTTGAAAACGTTTAAAAACGGCCAAAAACTGTCAGATATTCAAATTCTGAAAACTGAAAAACTGTCTCTTGTAGTCGACTACTGTAGTCATTAGTCGACTACACTGAGTTCAGACAGACTCTGTGTTTTCGGAAAATGTTCTCAGTAGTCGACTATAATGATAATTAGTCGACTACACTGAGTTCAGACAGAAACTTGAAAATTTATATTTTTCTTCAGTAGTCGACTACTGTAGTCATTAGTCGACTACACTGTAAAAAGACAGAAACTTATGTTTCTGTCAAACATCTCAGTAGTCGACTATAATCTCTATTAGTCGACTATACTGTAAAAAGACAGAAACTTGTATTTGAGTTATATACATGAGTAATCGACTACTATCCTAATTAGTCGACTATTAAGATCAAAAATTCAGAAATAATGAGTTTTTATAATTAAGTTTTAACTATTATTCTAATGGTTAACATAGGGGATTTCTATAGTTAACCAACACACTAAGCCTGTGTTAGTGTATTCTAAAAATGTGTGTGTGTGCGTGTGTGTGATCAAGGCTTGTACAAATATTCTAAGCAAAGAAAAATTCAAATACATTATCTTTTGTTCTTCATTTTCTTCACTTCAAAATG